CTGGGGAACAGAGTCCAGAAAAAGCCTTCCACCCTTGCTCTATAACCTCTTGAAGAACATTTTCGACCAGCAACTCAGACCAGGACCTCTTCCTTATTATTGCCCCAACTGGTAAGTCCCAATCATACACTCTCGCCCTGCTGACCAATCAGGGTCTTTCTTTCATCTTCATCTTTTGTATGTATGTATGTATGTACTTATTTATTTATATACCTCACCTTGCACTCCTGCAACTCTTGTTCCCACCAGCCTCAGTAAGAGAATTCCACCCTGCCTGGCCAGTATGGCTCACTCAGTTGGTTGAGCATCCTCCCATGCACCAAGAGGTCACCAGTTTGATTCCGGGTTAGGGCACATACCTGGGTTGTGGGCTTGATACCCAGTAGGGGGCATGCAGGAGGCAGCTGATCGATGTTTCTCTCTCCCTCTCCCTTGCTCTTTCTAAAAATCAATATAAACATATTTTTTAAAAGAGAGGGAGTCCCACCCAGGTGCACTCTCCCTCCCAGGAGCATGCCTGCATCTTTCCCTTCCCCTTCTTCTTCCCCCACAGGCGTGCATCTCCTAAACTCTAAGGGTCCCCCAGAGACTTGCAACTAGGGGAGCAATGGGCAGGGCAGCTCATCCTAGAATAACCCCCTGAACCTTTCTCCAAGGCCCCCTTTTCTCTGATTTCCCAGTGAGCTAACAGTAGCCCCACCTCAGCTCATTTCTTTCCTACAACATTTCTAGAGAGCCAGAGCAGCCCCACCCGGCTCTCCTGTTGCTTCTTCTATTCTTCTACCCTAAGCCCTTCCCTGTTTCACTGTCCCCAGCCAGGCAGGTGCAGGACTTTAAGCCACCACGCCCCTTAATCCTGGCATTGCTGAGCAAAGGCATCCATTCCAGCCTCCCGGATCCAGCTGTCAGGCTGTCCGTTAGGATGGCAGAGGAGGAGGGTTATGTGGGTGAAGAGGACGTGTTCCTGGCTTTTGCCCAGGGTCCTTCTCCTCCCAGGGGTCCCCTACGTCAGGCCTTGGACAAGGCCTTCTTTATATTCCTGGCCCTCTTTCTGACACTACTGATGCTGGAGGCTCTTTATAAACTCCTGTGGCCGCTGCCATGGGCAAAATTTGGGGAATGGCTCCTGGGAACACCTCAGAAGGAAGATGAGCTGGAATTGTGACTACCTTTTGTATAAACATCCTCTTACCCTGGTAAGGAGGTGAGAGGGGAGATGGGGGGAGGGGAGTGGGGCTGTTGGGGACTGTGGAGGGGACACTTGGATAGTTTAGAGCAGCTATCTAAAATTTCTGCACCTATACTCCAGGAAACAATTTTGAAAAAGTTTGTACTTTTCACATATTTTTAAGTAAGCATCTAAAATTTTTCATCAATTGAAATTGTTTCAAAGATGTAATTCTTGGCATATTGAAAATATTCACATTTTAGCCCTAGCTATTTTGCTCAGTGGTTAGAGCATTGGCCCTCAGACTGAGGGTTTCTGGTTCCCTTCTGGCACATTCCTGGGTTGCAGGATGGAGCATGTGCAGGGTGAAACCAATTGATGTGTCTCTCTCACATCGATGTTTCTCTCTTTCTGTCTCCCTCCCTCCTTCCCTTCTTCCTTCCCTCCCTCCCTTCCATTCTCACTTAAAAATCAATGGGGGGAAAATATCCTCTGGTGAGGATTAACAACAAAAAGAAAATATTCACATCTATACTAATAAAAGGGTAATATGCTAATTAGACCAGCTAGACCGGATGTCTTTTGGACGTCATTCTGGACATCCTTCCTGACAAAGCCGGCCGGGGGAAGAAGCCGCCCGGGGTCCCGGGTGCCTGCAGCCGGCCAGAGGGAGGGAAGCCAGGTCCCAGGTGCCTGGGGCCAGCCAGAGGGAGGGAAGCCCAGGTTTCAGGTGCCTGTGTGGCCGGCCAGAAGAGAGAAGCCTGGGTCCTGGGTGCGGGGGCGGAGGCAGAGGTGATTAGGGGTGATCAGGCAGGCAGGCAAGCAATTAGGGGCAATCAGGCAGGCAGGCAGGGGCAATTAGGGGGGATTAGGCAGGCAGGCAGGTGAGCGGTTAGGAGCCAGCGGTCCTGGATTGCGAGGGGTGAGGGACCCCACCATCCCTGCACAAATTTTGTGCACCAGGCCTCTAGTTTTTAAATAAGACAAATCACTCTTTTGAATGTCCAGAGGAATTAAAATATCAGAATTGAAACATTATTAAAAATTAGAGGCCCGTCCCGGGTGCCTGCAGCCGGCCAGAGGGAGGGAAGCCAGGTCCCAGGTGCCTGGGGCCAGCCAGAGGGAGGGAAGCCCAGGTTTCAGGTGCCTGTGGCTGGCCAGAAGAGAGAAGCCTGGGTCCTGGGTGCGGGGGCGGAGGCAGAGGTGATTGGGGGTGATCAGGCAGGCAGGCAAGCAATTAGGGGCAATCAGGCAGGCAAGGACGTCCGGAATGACGTCCAGAAGGTTGTTCCGCTGTCCGGTCTAATTAACATATTATGCTTTTATTATTATAGATTGTATTGTGTGTTCACCATCCAAATTCAACTCTCCCTTTATCACCATTTTATCCCCCCTTAACCCTCTTCTACCTGCTCCCACCCCTCTTTCCCTCTGATAATCACCCTACTGTTGTATGTGTCTATGAGTTTTGTTTTGTTTGTTTTTTTGCTTAGTCCCTTCACCTTTTTTACCCAGTCCCCTAACTCCACTCCCCTCTAACAACTGTCAGTCTGTTCTCTGTGTCTATTAAACTTGTATTAAGGGTTTATTTGATTCTGTTAGGGATGGGGCGGGGGGAAGGGGGGTAGGTGGAAGAGGGTTTAGGGCAGTGGTTCTCAACCTTCTGGCCCTTTAAATACAGTTCCTCATGTTGTGACCCAACCATAAAATTATTTTCGTTGCTACTTCATGACTGTAATGTTGCTACTGTTATGAATCGTAATGTAAATATTTGATATGCAGGATGGTCTTAGGCGACCCCTGTGAAAGGGTCGTTCGACCGCCAAAGGGGTCCCGACCCACAGGTTGAGAACCGCTGACCTAGGCTATTATTAGTATAGATACATAAGTAAGGCCCTATCTGGTTTGGGTCAATGGATAGAGCATCGGGCTGCAGACTGAAGGGTGCCAGGTTTGACTCCCAGGCAGGACACATGCCCGGGTTGCGGGCTTGATCCCCAGTGTGGGGCAAGCAGGAGGCCGCCAATCAATGATTCTCTCTCATCACTGATGTTTCTATCTCTCTCTCCCTCTCCCTTCCTCTCTGAAATTTGAAAGAGAAAAAAAAGCGTTTGACTTAAAAAAAAAAAGCTCTTGACAATTGGGAATCATTTTTCTTCTTTTTCTCTTTGTACTCCTACTAACATTCCACTTCTCCAGAGACAATTTTATGCTTTTATACTTGAACGTCTCCGATGAAAAATATTTTTCTTTCTTGTGACCAAAATTCTAGTTTTTAAAAAAATTTCTTCAGGGTTACCATTACAACTGTAATGACAGCATAACTGATCAAATAGCATGAAAATTGTACACAATTTTATAATTGTTAAAAATTTAAAAATACATTTTTTTTTAATATATTTTATTGATTTTTTTTTTTTACAGAGAGGAAGGGAGAGAGATAGAGAGTTAGAAACATCGATGAGAGAGAAACATCGATCAGCTGCCTCCTGCACATCCCCCACTGGGGATGTGCCCGCAACCCAGGTACATGCCCTTGACCGGAATCGAACCCGGGACCCTTCAGTCCGCAGGCCGACGCTCTATCCACTGAGCCAAACCGGTTTCGGCTAAAAATACATTTTTAATGAATAGATGAGGTGGTGTTTATGGTGCCTACATATCTGTTTAAGACAAGGTAAGATTATCTCCAAGAGATTTCATGGTTGAGAACTGTACTTTTCTTTCTTAAAAGGGAGAAAGTCTATTGTAAAAGGGAAAAGGAAAAGAGCCTCTACTGCAGGCATTTACTCAGGAAGACTAATTTGGGGAAAGTTGAGGATCTGAAAATTAAATCCCTTCTCTATCTCCCGAGTCCTCGTGCTGTCTGAGAGCTCATTTTCCTCGATTGGAAGGCGGCAGGCTCCGCTGCCTGGAAGGGAGGGCGTGGTGCTCCTTAATGGAGGTTCCGCCCGAGGGCTTGGAGCGGTTGGAACTCTGCGGTCTGGAAAGTGACAAGATGCTCACCTCCCGGGAGTGCGCGGCGGTGCTGGAGGCGGGCCTCGCCGCGACGGGACCCGCGCCAGCCTTTCGGTTCGCCAGGACCTCACCTTCGGACCCCCCTTGCCTCCGAGTCCCTCCAGCCTCCCTCAAACGGCGAGGTGGATGCCGTGAGGCGGGCATCCAGGTCGGCTTCTTCTCTCTTCCTTCTTTCCTCAGCTCCCCCGGAGGGAAGGAGACGGGCCCGAGCCCCGAGGTGTTTTCCGAGGCTCCTCCGTCTTCCGGCCTCCCGCGGCGACTCGCACCGAGCCT